TTCAGATGCTTGACAATTGACTCATATTTATGACAATTGTACAGGGGTGGGATTCAAAAATCCCAGCAACCAGTTCTCTGCCCAGTGGCTGGGTGGCCATGGCCGTGGTGAGCGTGGCCTACCGGAACTTCCTGTTTCTGGTTTCCGGTGGGTCTCCAGAGCCCGGGGGAGGCCGTTTTTGCCCTCCCAAGAGTCCAGAAGCTTCTCCCGGGCCTCTGGGAGGGCAAAAACAACCTCCCCCAGACTCTGGAGACCCTCCAGAAGCTGGAAACGGGCCCATTTCCAGACTTCGGGTACTTCTGGAAGGCCCGTTTTCCCCCCTTCCAGAACCTTCGCGTGGACCCTGCACTTATCTGCATCAAAAAATGGGCCATGTGGAGATTCCTGAGAGGGGCGGGGTGTGGTGAGTAGGGCTAGCCGGTCGGTTGGAATACCGGTTCAACGAATCAGATGTAACTTCAACATCCGGTTCGCTCAAACTGGTCCAAACCGGTAGAATCCCACGCCTGCAATTGTAGCACCTAGAGTCGTCTTTTGCAACCTGCCAAGCAAAGCTCAGTGTGGAAGCCAGATTCACTTAGCAACTCTGTGACTCACGTGAACAACTGCAGTGATTCACTGAACAGCTGTGAATGGCACGAAAGGTCGTAGAATGGGGCAACGCTCACTTAACAACTGCCTCGTTTGAACCACAGAAATTGTGTGCTGCGTTTGTGTGGGTGAATGCCGAGGATTACCTGTAACCGGAAAAGAGGGGGGAAATTCTAGCTGGGGAATTCTGGGAGTCCACCCTCCTTAAAATTGTCACTTTTGCAAAACAGGGATCTAATCTACCAGCTTTGAATGGTTTAAAACAACAGTTTTTTTTTCCTGGTGTAAATCGGATTACTCACCTCTTTAAATGAGAACAGCTCTGTGAAAAGTTCGTAGTGGCTGTAGGCCTGGACACCAGCTCCTAAAATGCAGAGGACCTCTGAAACCGCAGGCATTAAATACTGAAAACGCACACATTAAGGAGAGGAAAAAAAGGATTCTTGTTAAACGTGAACTTCTTCAGTTTAAGACTTTCTCTAAAATAGATGGCCTCGTTTCTTCTCTTCAATACAAAATGCCCACACATTGCAAAAGGCCCACGGTTAAATTTTGGGGTGGCTTGGCATGTATTTAGGATGGGCTGCAGCCTGAGTGGGCAGCCGTATAAATTCTCCAAACAAATAAATACATATAACAATCGAGCAGCTTCTGGTCCTTATTTTGTCTACTTTAAAAGGAACTCACCTTGGTGGCTATGGCCGAGACAGCTGCCGTACGCTTGGCCGTAATGACGTTGCCATCCATCACCTTTTGGAAAGAAGAACATCCAAAGGCCAGGACCAGAAGATAAGAAACAGAGATTTAAAAAAGCAAGTTTTGTGAAAGCCGTGAATTTAACACACCCTTTGGGAGAAGGGGGGTGTCCGTTCCTCTCCCATGTCCGTTCAATTGTAAATGACATTCGTTGTGCCAGGATGCATCCTATGCACAATTATGCTGCCACTGAGATCATTTAATTATGCCAAACGATGCTAATCCTATTCTTACTTAAATGACAAAAACGGCTACCCAAAATATCAAAGCAAGATACGTATACTTGTCTTGGCCAGGATAATTTGAAGGCAACGGGCTTGGCTGTGCTGGCTGGGGAATTCTGGAAGCTGAAGTCCATACTTCCTGAAGTTGCCACGGTTGAGAAACATTGCCTCGGAAGCATGGGAAAACTTGGGAATAAATCAAGGTTGGCTAAGAATTTCTAGGAATCGAGGCCCAGACATCTCACTGTTGCCAAGATTGAAAAACACTGCTGGAAACCAAACCAGGCCATGGGCTGATCTAAGATGTCTATTTTTTTTAATTTTATGATATTTGTTTGTATCCCACCTATTATCTTTACAAATAGTTCGAGGGAGTGACTGTATCTAACACACCTTCCTCCTCCTATTTTCCCCACAACAACAACCCTGTGAGGTGGGTTGGGCTGAGAGGCAGGGACTCATCCAAAGTCACCCAACTGGCATACGTGGCTGAGGTGGGACTAGAACTCACCGTCTCCTGGTGATTGGCCCAAACTCACCTAGCTGGCTTTCACGCCTGAGGCGGGACTAGAATTCACCGTCGCCTGGTGATTGGCCCAAACTCACCCAGCTGGCTTTCACGCCTAGGGCGGGACTAGAATTCATAGTCACCTGCTGATTGGACCAAACTCACCCAGCTGGCTAAGGCAAGACTAGAACTCACAATCTCCCGGTTTCTAGCCTGGTGCCTTAAACACTAGACCAAACTTGAGCTCCCCAGATAATTCAGCTGCTCAATCCCTCCCTGCCTGGGCTGTCCATCGGGGAGGAAGGTCTCCAGAGCTTACCGCTTTGAGGCTGCCGTTCGTTGGGTCAAACAACAGGACCGTCGCTTGGTGCGAAGGAGACACATTCTCATAAAAGGTCACCAGCTTGGTTGTCAGAGCATCGTCGTTTGCACTGTAGGCGGGCATGACCCCCAAAAAGCTTTGGAGGAAAAAAAAAACAAGGGAAGGGGTACAAGCTAGTCCTCAATTTACGACCATATTTGAACCCTGCCGAGAGGGTTGTAAGCTATGACGACTGTAAACCTGGTCATCCTTACCATCGAGCTGCAGGCTAGACTGTCTCTTATCCGACTGTTCCCTAGGCAGCATCACTTCACCTGTGTCTCCCAAGGTCTTTCTCACAGATCCTCACAACTACCCACCTTCTGCTGGGCACCAGAGAAAGTGAGCTCACGCTGGCTGTGCTTCCCCCCACCCCAAAAGGGTTTAGAGAATGATTCCTGCTTTCTGGCCTCACACAAACCCGTTCGAGTCGATTTCCTAAGAGGAGACAGACAGTCCTCCTCTTTCCCAGAGCATTAGATGCTCGCCTAAATGAAGTGAAGTGTTAATACCACTTCATAAGTGTTAGTACCCCCTTTATAAGGCCTTGGTAAGGCCACGCTTGGAATACTGCATCCAATTTTGGTCGCCACGCTATAAAAAAAGACATTGAGACTCTACAAAGAGTGCAGAGAAGAGCAACAAACATGATCAGGGGACTGGAGACAAAAACATATGAACAACAGTTGCAGGAACTGAGCCTGGCTAGTCTAGGGAAGAGAAGGACCAGGGGAGACATGAGAGCCGTCTTCCAGTATTTGAGGGGCTGCTCCAAAGAAGAGGGAGTCAAGCTAGTCTCCAAAGCACCTGAGGGCAGGACAAGAAGCAACGGGTGGAAATGAATCAAGGAGAGACGCAATTTAGAACTAAGGAGAAATTTTCTGATAGGGAGAACAATTAATCAGTGGAACAACTTGCCTTCAGAAATTGTGGGTGTTCCTCCATCACTGGAGGCTTTTAAGAAGAGACTGGACAACCATTTGTCTGGAATGGGATAGGATTTCCTGCCTGGGGGGGTGGACTAGAAGCCCTCCAAGGTCCCTTCCAACTTTGTTATTCTGTCCCCCCCCCCCCCCCTATTCTTCCCATTCCCTATTTCAATCTGCTAGTGTTAGGATCTGGGGCAAAGCTTAGAGGGGGGCAGACCCCAGCTTCTCCAAAGTCCACCTTGGGATTCCCCACCCCCACCCCGCAAGGGTTGGAAAGCTGGCCCGGCCAGACCCCCCCCCCCCCCCCCGGGGGCTTGCTTACCCGCTGTGCTTCTGGATCGGGAGGACGGTGCGCAGCGGCTGCACCACGCCGCCTTCGGCCCCGCTGCAGAAGGCGGCCAAGGCGGCTTCCAGAGCCGAGAGGAGGGCGCGGGAGGCGGGCCAGTGCTTCTGCACGGCCCCGGCATCCAGGAAAACCGGCGCGGAGCTCATGCTGGCGGCGGGGACGGAGGCGAGCTGGCCGGGCGCGCAGGGAAGCGGCTCGCCTATCCTCCCTCCCGGCCACCGCCCAGGGCTGGGGGACCCCGCGGCTCCGGCAGCGCCCAGCACCGCCTAGCGGGCGCCGCAGCTCTGCCCGTCCGCGGTGGGGAAGGGGAGGGAAAGGAGCGCGGCTCCGTTTTGCAAGCGGGCGCCCGGGAGCCGCGCCCGGGGCTGTGCAAGAGCGGCGCTTTCCACGAGAAATGGGGATGAGGGGAGGTGCAAACTGGGATATCTGGGGATGATGGGAGGTGCAAACTGGGATATATGGGGATAATGGGAGACTGGGATGTCTGGGGATGATGGAACATGCTGGCTGGGATATCTGGGGATGATGGGACGTGCAGGCTGGGATATCTGGGGATGATGGGACGTGCAGGCTGGGGCATCTGGGGATGATGGGACGTGCAGGCTGGGGCATCTGGGGATGATGGGACGTGTAGGCTGGGATATCTGGGGATGATGGGACATGCTGGATGGGGCATCTGGGGATGATGGGACATGCTGGATGGGATATCTGAGGATGATGGGACATGCAGTCCTAAAGCATCTGCGCCACGATAAATAACGCAGCCCGGAGCCTCTAAAGGTGGTGGCAAAAGCCGCCAAACAGAGGAACCCACTTTTTTCCTTCTTTATCACATTGCACTGACTTTCTTCCTCCTTCAGCTGCCACCCCACCACCACCCCCAATGTTTGAATCCGGATTAAATATTTTTATTTCCCTCTCGGACTAAATGCTGAGTTTTTGTTTTTCATCAGGCTGGTTGCTCACATCAGAATAACAGTGTTGGAAGGGACCTTGGAGGTCTTCTAGTCCAACTCCTGCTCAGGCAGGAAACCCTATAGCATTCCAGACAAATAAATAATTTTTATTTATTTTGTTTATTTCCCAAGCGATTTGGGGCGGGCTTTAAGCTGCTTTGCTATTTCCTTTCTTAATACGGGTCTCCCCGCTTTAAAAATGAGACCGGGAAAATCCTTCCAATCTGGGGAAGGGGGCGGGGCTATAAAGGGGGCGGGGCAGGAGTCCTTTCCAAACTCCCCGCAAATGGAGGAGTCCGCCGTCGGCCACCTACAACCGGACGTTCTTGCCTAGGACTCGATGCTCCCCTCGATTCAAACCGGGACGCTCTAGCCAAACCCACTCCCCGTTAGAAAACCCCACGTAACCTTCGAACGTCCCCAGCTCTATGGTTCGGCGCCGGAGACCGAAGGGAAAAGAGGGACGCCGCGCGGGGCAGGCAGGGAAGGCCGACCGTTTCCGCTGCCGCTTCCGCCGCTGCCGCCATCTTGGTTTCCTTCCTCGGGAGGGTCGGCGCTCGGCGGCCTCGGCGGCGATGAAGCCCCTTCTGGTGCTGGCGCGGTGCATCCCCGTGAGTCCGTTTAGCCGGCCGGGGGGAGCGACCCAACCGGGCAGGCTGAGGGGATCTCGAGCCGGGCCTGGAATCCCCCACGCTTTCCCGGGGGTGGAATCGACCTTGAGCGGGTCCTTGCGGCGAAGGGAGCGGCTGGGCAGGAGGCGATTGAGGGAGATCCGAAGGTCCTTTGGTGTGCCTGAGGCCGAGCCCTGGTTAGCCTGTCATGGCTGGGGCTGGGGGAGGTCGAGAGGTCATCGGGCTGTGCCCGCGGGGGGGGGGGGGGGGGGGGGAACCCCGGCGGGTGGAAAGCTGGCAGATCTCGTGTGTGTGTGTGTGTGTGTGTGTGTGTGTTTGTGTGTGTGTATGTTGTGTATATGTATATATATATGTATATGTATATATATATATATATATACATACATACATATACATATACACACACACGCATGCACACATTTATATACACACACATAACTGTGTGTATGTATGTATGTATGTATGTATGTATATGTAGTTTTGAATGTATTGACTGATAGCAAGAATTGTATTTGCACAATATCGGAAAAATGAGGACACTCCAGCAGATGAGGATGTAATTCAGAAAATATTGGACTCTGCTGAGATGGATAGATTAACAAATAAAGGACAAAGAAGACACAGAATATTACTTAACATGGAATAGATTTTAGGAGTGGTTATAGAGAAGAGGAAGTGAGGAGAAGAAAGATGACTGCTATGTATATATGTTAATATTACTTTTTGTTCGTCCTTTGCTTTTCTGTAAATGATATGTCCTGACATTATACTGCATTCAAAATGTTTATGAATAAATAAAAATAAATAAATAAAATAAAAAGAAAGCTAGCAGGTCAGGGAGATAGACGGGTGGGTGTCAGTCAAAGGACGTACAAGCGGAGAAAGAACTGCACTCCAAGTGGACTGGCACTTCAAGCTCATTTTTGCCTTCGTGTTGCCACATTTGACTTTTCTGTGCCCTGCTGGAACTCTGTAAAAGAAATGATGTCTTGCAGGAGAATGGGTATTTAAAACTCCCTGCATTTTTGAATCACGTATGTTCTGCCAGGAGAAATTTAAGCAAAACATATATGCGTATATGTATGGACAGCATACGAATTGGATGTCCTGGTAATTTGGATAGATAGGTGGGTGGGTGGATGGATGTAGATTGACATATGTAGGTAGGTAGACGAATGTAGAAGATAGATGTAGATTGACAGAGATAGATTGATAGAAGTAGGATATAGATTTCTATAGATGTAGGTAGATGTGGATAGATGGATGGATAGCTAGATATAGATTGAGAGGTAGATTGATGTAGGTAGGTAGGTAGGTGGATGGATAGATGTAGACAGAGAGACAATACCCACACACAGACACAGACATGTAAAGGTAAAGGAGTCCCTCTCTTTTACTCCACTAGTCATTTCTGACTATATAGGGAGTGGTGGTGGTGGTGCTCATCTCCGTTTCAAGGCCATTGAGCCAGCGCTGTCTGAAGACACTTCCATGATCAGGTGCCAGAATGATATCACGGAGCACTGTTTTTACACACACACACACACACACACACAGAGATACACTCACATTAATCTCACATTTATACTCTCTTTACAGAAGAGGTTTTATTCTGTCCAGGCTGCACCCAAAATTAAAGGCTCTGCAGCACCCCGCGTGCAGTTACCCCCCGAGGAACTTGAGGTCAGTCTGAATTTTAAAATGCTTTGCATGTTGACATTTTGGTTAGCGGTAGCGTGACGTGAGTCGTGCACGGACCAATATCTCTTTATCCCAAATGCAGATTACAAAATTGTCAAGTGGCTTGGTGATTGCCTCTTTGGAAAACCATTGTCCAGTTTCTAGCATTGGCCTCTTCATTAAAGCAGGCAGTAGATATGAGACTTCCAGCAATCTGGGAACGTCGCATCTGCTCCGTCTTGCAACCAGCCTGGTAAGATGCTCTCTTTTTCATTTACATTTAGAAAATGCCTTTTCAGATTATTAAAGTCGAATGCACCAAAGAGGAATTTGAGGTTGGAGAATCAAGTTGGGAAGCAAAGAAAAATCCAGATAGCATGATGAAAGAATCTTTTTTTTTTTTCTGGTGTTAAATAAAATGGCCAAAAGAGAAAAAATATAGAACAGTGCCCCCCAATATTTTGGCCACAGGTATCGTTTCCGTGGAGAGAGGTTTTTCTGTGGACTGGAGGAGTGTGGTTTCATGTACTGCCTGCATCCCACGGTCCCGTTTCGGGCATGCCACAGCCCGGTGCTTGTCCACAGACTGAGGGTTGGGGACCCCTGATATATAATGGGCCAGTTAGACAAATTGGTTGCCTGAGATGGCTATCAAATTCTCCCCAGCAATTTGGCCTCCAGAATTAGGAACTTTGAAGTGCATTGGGCTAATAATATCTCATTGTTGAGTAATTTGGAAATAAGTCTTGACAATAGGATGAACGGTTTTGCATAACACACTAGGTCAGGGTTAATTTCAGCATAACCTGAATAAGGTACAATTATGGATTAATTTAAAGTGCTTAAGACCAAATGTTGTAGGGCCATTTTTGCCATTTTTAAGTAATCTTAACATTTCAACATTGTATGTTACCAGTACCCAAGTTTGCCTTCCTTCAGAATTAGCATTAATACTGTTGATAGGTACAGCTCAGAATGTTAAACCTTTTGTCCCCTTCTTCCATCAGACCACAAAAGGAGCTTCTTCCTTTAAGATTGTCACCGGCATTGACAGTGTTGCTGCTAATCTCAGGTTTGTTATCAAAGGTTCACCTTTTTTTTTTGAAGAAAAAGGGAAATGGATTCTCACAAGCAGTTTACTTATAAGGTGCTTCTTTTTAATGAAAAGGCCTATATTTGAGTTTTGCATTTTATCAAACTGCTAAGGAATTTGAATAGCTCATGGCAGAGCAACTGAAGGCAGTGAAGGCTTTAAACAAAAACTGGAAGCCTTTCATATTTAATAATCAGAATTGAGCCTGTCATAAAAGATTTTCTGGATTTGCAGAGGGAATTTTAGTGATTTGTTTTGCATGTATTTTCTCAAGTGTATTGGAAGATGAACAAGTTGTAAGAGCTAGACTGTTGGTTTGATAATCTCCCCTTAATACTAGTGATGACACACGCACACATTGACATTCATTCATTCCACAATGTGGCAAATGGTAGATTTCAGATATTTCCGATATATTTTCTCTTCTGCAAGTTTCATGTTTTTGTTTTTCCTTTTTCTAGTGTGACTGCTACCCGGGAGAACATGGTTTATTCCGTTGAATGTCTGCGTGATTACATGTAAGCATCTAGCTGTGTAACAAACCCCCTTTTCAATTCATTCAATGAGCATTCTCCTTGACAAAATGGTGGAACATTTTTGTACTAATAGTTTTTCGGGTTTTTTTAAAAAAAATACATTGTGAGTTTTCTTTGCTTGCTTTATTTAGTGATACTGTGCTGGAATATTTAATAAATGTCACTACTGCTCCGGAATTCAGGACGTGGGAAGTATCGGAACTCACTCCCCGTTTAAAAATTGACAAGGAAATTGCCTTTCACATCCCCCAGGCCTGTAAGTGTCGTTTCTTTAAAGTTGGCTATAGTTCTTTAAAATGGGTGGGAAAATTGCCCTGCCACGACTCTGTTTCTTCAGAAATGAAGTGTTGCATGCTGAACACATGAGGCCACCCCTTTCGTTCTTCCAATTCCATTCTTTGCTTTCATCTTAATCTCCCGCTCTTTTAGAGCAAGGCTTTCCAAACTTGGCAACTTTTAAGACTTGGGGGCCTTAAACTTACAACTTTTAAGCCCTGCCGACTGGTGAATTCTGGGAGTTGAAGTACCCATGTTTGGAGAACTGGGTTTTAGACTGATAGAGGACATTGCAGAATTCAAACACAACTCTGATAAATTGTTCTTTTTTTTAGACTTAGGCCACAGGCGGTCTGTCATTCTTATTTTTTAAAAAAAAATCGATATGACATGCTTATTATTACAACAAGGTTCTGAATATATTTTAAAAGAGACCTACTAAGTTTAGTTTCAAAACTATTGTGCTCTCTGTGAGTGTCGTTGCTTTCAATCCATAATTCTTATTCCTTCCTATGATAAGTGTGGCTTGATTGTGCCTCGGCCTCAGTTACTAATTACCTATAGATAAGATTAAGTACCACTAATTCCCAGTCAGTATCAGTCATGTATGCCTTTGCTGGTTGGTTAAGCACTTGGAAGTGTTCATTTCTACTTTTTTATTGCAAAGAAAATCCTGTCACTGAGTTGAGACAAAATGGTATATGTAGCAACAGGATTTTTGTTTCGGTAGAACATAGCTTGTATACATATTATATTTATTTTTTATTGATTCCATTAATATAGCCGCTCAGATGACTGATCACACTGGTAACTCTGGGCAGTGCACACAATTAAAATAAGGAGGGTGGGAAAAGAGTCTTTTGAACTGCTTCATAATCAATTAAAAGTGTTTCCTTCTGTTTTGTCTAGGCATTCTGGAGAATTTGCACGCTGCAGCTTACCGAAATGCCCTGGCTAATTCTTTGTATTGTCCAGATTTCATGATCGGCAAAATTACATCAGAACAGGCAAGAATCTGAATGGTACTTTTACAGCAATGTACGTGGGGATGCTCTGCTTTGTTCATCCATAGACTCTGGCGAGGCAGGGCTTCAAATCTTGAAGGATTGGTTAGCTGCAGAATTCGCTAGGATGCAATGCAGTAATGAGTATCACCTCAGTAGTCTTTAAGAGGGATTAGATCAGACAGCAAAGTACAGGTAGTTGTCAGCAACCATTCCTAGTTACCGCAGTCTTGAAAAAAGTGGTTTACAATCACTTTAGTTTCATATAAGCTCTCTTGAAGGAGTGGTACAGTGGCCTAGAAGTGGAGCTCCCACCTCACAATCAGGAGGCTGTGAGTTCGATCCTAAGTAGAGGCAGATATTTCTCTCTCTCTCTCGGCACACTGAGAATGTAACTGCTGAACAAAACTCCGCATTGGTGACAGGAAGGGCATCTGGCCACTAGAACACTCTGCTAGCTCCATTCAGTTGCTCAGACTCCACCCCACAAGGGATTATTAAAAGAAAAAGATGATGATGATGATGATAAGCTCTTCTGAAGACTTTTTATCTCTTTCTTTATCGCAGTTGCATGCGTATGTCCAGAACAACTTCACTAGTGGACGCATGGCCTTGGTGGGACTCGGTAGGTAATCCGCCATTTCTTGTTTGATGCCACGCTGAGTTCCATTCAAGACAACACTCTTATCATTTTGGGGTGTTCTCCTTCTGACTCGAGTATCTTCTTGCAGGTGTCAGCCACGCCGACCTGAAACAGGTTGGAGAACAATTCCTTAACATTCGCAGTGGGGCTGGCATGGCCGGCGAAAAAGCCAAATATCGCGGGGGTAAGTTGCAGCCTTCTACCTTGGCTTTGCTCACGGGGTGCTCTGATTGCTGGGAATATTTGGGAAATCCAGTTCTGCTGGCTGAGGAACTCTGGGAGTTGAAGTCCACAAGTCTTAAAGCTGCCAAAGTTGATCGAGCAAATGTTTGCTATGGTCCGAGAGTTTCATGGAAGATTTCCTAGAATGCTTAGGAGAGAAGAGGAGTTGGGTGAAAACCAGAATCACCCCCGAGCAATCAGTATTCCTGTCCTTGGCATCCTTAAAACTAGACGGATTTCTCCTCTTCCCTTAAGGTGAAATACGAGAACAACAACGTGACAACCTCGTCCATGCGGTTGTAGTCGCAGAGGGAGCAGCTGTCGGAAGCCCAGAAGTAAATGCCTTTAGCGTCCTTCAAAATATCCTTGGAGCAGGACCTCTTATTAAGAGAGGAAGCAGGATTACCAGCAAACTTGTCCAGGAAATTACAAAGACAACTTCCCTACCCTTTGATGTAAGGACTGAAACTTTTTTTTTTTATATCAAAGGCATAGAAATCCTTGTATGTGTGTGTGTGTATACAGTATATGTACGTATGTGCGTAAAAGGCGCCTCTGTGGCGTAGTGGTTAGAGTGCAGTACTGCAGGCTACTTCTGCTGACTGCCTACAATTTGGCAGTTCAAATCCAACCAGGCTCCAGGTTGACCCATCCTTCCGAGGTGGGTAAAATGAGGACCCAAATTGTTGGAGGCAAAGAGGCTGGCTCTGTAAACTGCTTAGAGAGGTCTGTAAAGCACTATAAAGCCGTGTGTAAATCTAAGGGTTATTGCTATATATATGATCATTGTCTGTGAAATCTTCCTAATTTATGGCTGCATATGGCAAAATAACTCCAGAGCCTATTTTGCACTACAGGTAGTCCTCGTGTGGTTTTGGACTGGCACCTCAGGTGTTAAACAAAGCAGTCCCTAAGTGAAACTGATTATGATCTTACTTCAACTTCCCTTTGATTTTCAGACCTCAAACAATGAGGCATGGGAAGACTGTCCACAGAGTTACTTTTTCTTCCCTGTCATTATGATCAGTCACCAGATGAGGACTTTCTGTTGTCTCTTATCAGTGAATCTTGACATGTGTCCCTAATGGAGGTTCTCCATCAATTTTGCCCTTGGTTCAGGCCAGAGGTGACAAAATACCCCTTTCAGCTCTTGAATTGTATGGTTAGGATAGTGGTAGACTTCCGTTCATCGATCGTCAGTTTTAAAAGGTTTTTTTTACATGACCCTTTATAGACACCTTGCAATCCCGAGTGCCAATTAGAAGAAGCATTCCTCCTTCCCTCCTACAGGAGTAGCTGCATCTTCTAAACCCCTTGTAAACAATAGCGCACCGACTAAAAGAAACATGCTTTTCTCCTTTGGAAAAGGAAGAGATTCCTTAACATAAAATGAATTTGCCTAAATTTCATTGAGTGAGGATTTTAGGTTTATAAGCAAATATTTCATCTTAACTCCCAGTAGTTTGCAGTATTCAAAATAGGTTATGCTGGGAGGAAAACATGCTAGAATATGCTAACTGAAGCAGCCTTCTATCGCAGGTAACCGCATTCAACGTGAATTATTCTGATTCTGGTCTTTTTGGCATATATACCATCTCTCAAGCTTCAGTCACCAGGGAGGTAAGTTATCAGGGTTGACGTAATTCTAGATCCCCTTGGGGCCCGCGAGTTGGCTTGTACTCTCAAGTAGGTTCTTCGGGTGGGCGTGCCAAAATGTGCAACTCCTTTGGGAGGGATTTTAAGGGGGGGGATGGATATCTTTGAGGGTGGAGCACCTCTAGTTACTGCAGCCAGAAGTAATGTATTTCATATATGTGTCAAGGTAATCAAAGCCGCTTTGAATCAAGTGAAGGCTGTTTCCGAGGGTGGAGTTACTGAGGAAGAAGTGAAAAGAGCCAAGTAAGTTTCCCACCTCCCCACTCCCCCAAGATTGTTTGATTATACCGTGATTTTTTCACTCTCCAAAAATGTTGTGACTCCTTCTTTCTGTTAAGCTTTCTTGACTAACAGGTATGGCTATGTGTAATATAATTCTCTGGGTCTGTTATACCTTTATTAAGCTAGAGTAAAAAAAAAAATCACAGCTTTCTGTATGTGTGAAACTTGTTCATCATC